TTTTAAGTCCAGTGCTAGCTCAAATTTACAATTTGTAGAAATATGCATGTTCAAAAAAAAAAAAAAAGAACATTTAAAGCCCCTAATTTTTTTGCAGTTAGTAGACACCCAGACTAATACCATAGATTAGGCCATAAACTTGCTGTTGAATCTTTCGCTTTAAAGGTTCATATCGTATATGAGTTTTACGAGATACTAATTGAATAAGCCTAAAACATCAAACATTTTTTTGGTGTGCCTATCATAAGGACTACTCTTAGGTCACTTTTAGTCACTATTTTTACAACTGTAAGTCACTATTTGGTCACTTATTTCTGCAACATGGTCACTAAAATCACTATTTTTGACCGCAGTGATTACTACCAGCCCTGTTTTCAGGACCACCATAAATTTGGTAAAGAGTATTTTTTACGAAGGATTACGTCTTTCGGCAACATATCGGGGGTGCAATTTCTAAAACACAAAATCGACTGCGTTACGAAAAGTGGTCAGATTTTGACCACTTATAACTCTGGCAATAGCGGATGGATTTTAATTATAAAAAAGCAAATCGATTGGAAAAGCTGCTAAAATGAATACTTTATCAATTTTCAATTGGTCACTATTGAAAATTAGACAAATTTCCAACTGTTGCAATGGTGATCAAAATTATCACCGATTGTCTGCAAAAAGTGGTTTCCCCAACACAGTCGCCAAATATTGATACCGGACACATTACCCTACGTCAAATCTACGGTCGTGTCTTGGTGTCTTACTTTTTTAGCGTGAATTTATTTCAAGATAGATTATTGTTTTCGTTGTTACGTTTAATCGTATTTCTCTATATACAGGATGTCTACTCATTTTTCTGGAAAAAATTACCTGAGTTTTCCAAGTAAGTAAGTCCAAGATCTAAAAATATGCAATGTCTTGAAGTTTCGTATTCCATGTACAAGTTCAAGATATTGAAAATATTGAAAGTGCCAGAATTAAGTAAAAAAATAAATGATTTATTTCAATTTCGTAATTAACTTTATGAAAGAATAGAGATCTTCATTGTAGTCCCATTAACTTTACAACAATTTTAGGAACTTTGGAGAAGAAAATGCTGAGAATTTCAGTGCAGCTCTATAAACAAGCTGCAGGAACATAAGGGAAGCTACCACACTGAATATATGGGAAACTTACTGGAAGCTGTTAGAACCTTAAAAGCGGTTCTTTTAGCATCCGAGTACTTTTATGAAGTTCCTAGAATTTCACAGAACTCAACAGGTGTTAAACGAACTTGAGAAATTTAAGAAAACTTGAGGGGTATTATGCAAACTTTTAAGAAGTTCTAAGCACCTCAGAAATGCTGGATCTAGAAATTTTTGGGGAATTTCAGATCTTAATAGCAGTTTCCGTTACTATAGTCCAGAATTTTGGAGCAGTTTAAAATCTATAATCGTTAATTTAGATAAATTCACGATAGTTCCATGATGTACTGAAAAACAAATCGAGAACCCTTAATATGTTCCGCGAATTTCAGGGAAATACAGAGACCTTCAGAGAATTTATGAAAACTTCAGAAATATTTCAGAAACTTCACAGAAGTCCAGAGAATTTCAGGGAAATTTAAAGGTGTTTACGGGAATTCTATTTATTTCCGAGCAGAACCGAGATCTTCAATAGAACTAAGAGCTTTATGGAAGCCTCTTGAATATCAAGACAGGTCAGAGAATTAAAGGGCAGTTCAACTAATTTCAAGGAAATATTGGAAACCTTAAAGAAGTTTCGAGAAACTCAGTGAATTTCCGAAAACTTTAGCAAAGCTCCGAGAGAATTCCTGGAACGTGATACACATTTTATGAACATCCGGAAAACGTGAGAGTATTTTAAGATTGTTATATCATGGAGATATCAAAAACTTAAAAAAATGCGAAAATTTAGCTAAGTTTATTAGAATAGTGGATAGAATCCATACATCTCACGCCAAATTCACGAGTTCAACTCTCACCCCCCCAGACAAGTCACGAATGACCCAAGAGCGTTAAAATGACTTAAAAAAACAAAAATTAGAGAACATCAACGAAGTTTCATTAATAAAAAAAAAAGTGAGAACATTAGCAAGCAGCGATATCTTCAAGAAATTCCAGAGAACTAAATTTAGATATTTTTAGATAGTTTAATGATATTCAGCGAGTTCCGAGTACTTCGAGGACGATCAAATAGCTGCAGAATAATCCCATTAAATTCCAGAAATTTGGAAATTTAGAAAAACTTCGGAAACTTTTCAGTGGGCTTCAGAAACATTACTTCATAGAAATCTATGGAGCTTAAGATGAGATCCGCGAACTTCAGGAAATTTTATGAACATTAGCAAATCATTTGAAAAAAGTTTAGTAAGGTCCAAAAATTTGAGGAATTGCAGGGGGAAGTCAGTTCGAATAGTGGGGAATTTAAAGCAGTTCCCAGATTTTCAGATAACTTCTGAGTTGTTAAAAAATTATTTGAGGTCTTCGCATAAGTTCAGAAGGTCACTGAAGCATTTTTAGGATGATTTAATTAAATTCAGTGCAGTACAACAAGCATCATTAGAGATGAACTAGCCTAAGGCTAAAAATCTCTTAAATAAAGTTAAAAAAAAAACAAGCATCATGAGAACTGCAAAAACTTTAGAGAAGTTTTGAGAATTTCAGAAAAGAACAGAGAACCTCAGAGCAGTTCCGTCAACATCAGAGAAGTCACATAAATTTTAAAGAAGTTTAGATAACTTCAGCGAATTCTTAAACCTTTAAAGAAGATCTATGACCGTTGGAAAAATTGAGGAAACTCGAGGAAGTCTTATAAAGTTCATAATTTGAGGAGAAGTATTGTGAGCATCAGGCTAGTTTATCAAACTACAAAAGAACTTCAAGGCAGTTTCATTACCTTCAGCAAAAATTTGAGAATTTTCAATTGGATCTTAAGAACTCAAAATAGTCCATTCCATATTCAACGGAGATTTCCCCAAAATCTCGATGAAGCTATCTTCAGAATTAATTTTTCTTTTAGTTTTTCTCGGAATTACCTTTAAAATTCTCCCCAATTAGAAATCCTTGAGAAAGATTCCCCGAGTATTCATTGAATACATTTCAGATTTCCTTTTCAATCTCACTCCTTGCCTTGGAATTCTACTCGCATTGAAAGTCTCCTTACAATTAATTGGCATTTCTTCTCATAATTTGTTTGGCAAACCCTCCTAAATTTATTTTCCGAATTCCTTTGAAGATGTTCTGGAGTTATTGTCACATTTAATTGTAAGCCTCCTTTTAGTATTTTCATACAATTTCCAAGGACTTGTGCTCCGTATTCATTTATTCCCACAAACTTTATGAAATTATCCTCAAAATGCGCTTGGCATTTTCCAGTGAAGTTCACAAGAGTTGTGCTCCTCAGAAATTCCTAAGATTTTTCATTAAAATTTACTTTTAACTCAATTCAGATGCCAGGTAGTTGCTTGCTTGGAATTTTTGGAACAGTTGACTCTTTCGCCGAATGAAACTGCTGCAATGGTTCGGAAGGCAACCAATTTCTAGCTGACAGACTTACGGAGTTTCACTGTGAGATCCTTATTCTCGTAACCACTTCGAAACTTTAAGTGCACAAATATCAGCTTGCTTGCGAAACGTACCACATTGAAACTGTAACTTCACGTTTGCTGTACTGCAGCATACATGAAGTAGCAATGTCAGGTGATATGGGGCATCAATTTTCGAGATTTGTGTAATTGAAAATTCGAAGTGGAAGTGCATGTGACGGCCATTTGTGGACTGTACAAGGAATCACCTTAAGCTGGACTAGTCTCAGGATAAACTGACCCGCTGAATTATATGGTTTAACCTTTTAAGTCAAGTTGAGAACGGTTTCGCTGCGGATTCCGTGAAATTTTTCATGAAACTCTGTCAAAATATATATATATATGTTTAGGTTTGGCAAACTGACAAAACCCTGCGTGGAATCTCGTTCAAATTCCTTGTAAGGATACTAGTGGAATTTCTCTTCCTCTGGCCGATTTCTTCCATGGAATTCCAAAAAAAAAAAACTCTTCTTCAATATTCGATCACAATTTTGTCTCACAGATTCCGAAAGATTTCCTGTTGAGAATTTCAGCAAAGACAAAGAGTCAGAATCCCGAAGGGTCTTTCTTGTATGCTTCTGAACCCTACAAAGATTGCTCAGAAGTCTTGGAATACGCAATTTCCATTAGAGACTTCTTGGTTCCATGTTTAGATTTCCCTAACCTTCGGGTCTACGATTCAACGCTCCTGTTTTGGTTTTTTTTTTCGCATTATGATTCTCAAGAAGAGTTCCTGTTATCTCCAAGTGAAAATTACGACCGAATCCACTTCCTATTTCAACCGAACCACCGAACCTCACTCGCCACACAGAGACAAAATGACACGTGCACGGCATGAGCCAAACCGACTCATTCAATGGCAATGGAGAAAAGAGCTTAACTAATATTTAAGTTGCACTTAAGTGTCTCTACCCTCTTCATTCCCCTCATCCATCGTTCCACTGCAACGACCCTTCAACCACACTTATGTCACATGACACTGTACCAGTAGCAGCAGCAGCAGCAGCAGCACCTCTCTACACTGTTGGAATTGAAATGCCCGCATAGCTATGTAAAGATTCACCCTATCTGCATCCGACCTTCCGACTTTCGGGGGAAGCTCGAAGCGTGGCAAATTGATTAGTAAACAACGCTTTAGACTGTCGTACTACTGACTGCCGGACCTTCTCCCAAATTGACTGTGAGTCGAGTCTTGTCAAAATACTTACAACAATTAACTCCTTCGTTCGTCTCCATTCACACCGACCAACCAACCGGGACAGGAACTGGTCTAGCATTATATTACCATCGTGTGGGGCCACACTATTCACCATTGATGATAATGATGATGATGAAATCCCTTACCTTCTGCTGCAATACCTCCCAGTCAGTGTTTAGCTAGGTATTTGCTGTACTAATTATCGCTTCTATTTTCTCTTTCCAGATTGAGTCGGTCGATTTGGCGCTCAACATTTTGGACAATTATGACATCCGTGGGCACAAGATCCACGTCCAGCAGGCCGAGTTCCAACTCAAGGGCGAATACAACCCGGCACTGAAGCCGAAGGTCAGAAAGAGGGAGAAGGAGAAAATCCGCAAGATGCAAGAGGCGTAAGTTTTATGCGTTTTGAAAATACTTTAAACCGTGTGTGCCAAAGTAAGTTGTTGTCTTCATTAGATGCGCTTAGCTGTCAGGCAGCGCTTAGTAAAACTTTGTAACTGACACCTTGTCAAAGAAGGAGTTTGACTTCAAACAGCGTGACTTCAACCACTTTCGGATGTGGGTACTTTTAATCCACACATCATAACCGGCTTACTGTCTCTCCTCCAAGTACCCCGCAGAGAGTAGCAGATCTTCACCGATAACTACCCTCTTATGTCTCGCCTGGGTGTGGAGGCAAACAAATAAAAAGAAAATATTATTGCTATTAACTACCCACTTAACATATTTTGAGCACCACGTTGATTATCCACTTTTTTAACGACTCTTCAATAAGCTCTTCCCTTCTTTCGCGTTGTCTGCGCCCATCGATCTCGACCTAACCTCAACTCCTACATTGTCTCATACTACGTGTACTCATATTTGCAGATTGTTCGACTGGCGCCCGGAGAAGATGCGAGGTGAACGCTCCAAGCATGAGCGGATCGTCATAATTAAGAATCTGTTCGAGCCGGAGCTGTTCGAGCGGGAGGTCCATCTGTTGCTCGAGTACCAGAACGACCTCCGGGAGGAGTGCAACAAGTGTGGAACCTGCCGCCGGGTGGTACTGTTCGATCGGCACCCGGAGGGTGTGGCCCAGATCACGATGAGCGACTCGGAGGAGGCCGATCTGGTGGTGAAGCTTTTGAACGGTCGGTTCTTTGGTAAGCGCAAGCTCACGGCGGCCATTTGGGACGGTAGAACCAAGTATAGGTAATGCTTTCAGATTTCAAATCCTCCCGATATCTTCATTTACAAAAACCGATTTTTCATTTTCTTCCAGAATTGCCGAAACCGAGGCGGACGTCAATAAGCGTCTGGGCAATTGGGAAAAGTATCTGGAGAAGGAGGAAGCAGCGGTGGATGCAGAGCAACCCACCGAAAACAAACAGCCACCCGCAGAAACACCTCAGGAGGTGGAATGTTCCAAGGAAAAGGATGACAACAAAAGCGAACAGCAAATTACTGTCGCGGCGGCGGCGGCGGTGGAGACGGAGGAAAGCAAACCGTCCGGCGAAGTTGAACAACAACAACAACCACCGAAACCGCAACCGTCATCGGCAGATACCGACGACGACGCCGACGACGAATCACCAACAGTGGAAATCAACTGAAATCATGTTTGATTTACAGAGAATTGCAAAAATTTAAAGGTTCATTCTAAAATAAAACGGTACTCCCGCCGAATCGAACTTGTACAAGTCGACCAAAATAGAGCGAAAGAATTCCCATCAAAAAAACGCATTTAACGACCGTAATTTATTCCGAGTCAAAACTTTGTCTCGGTCACAGCCGAAAGCGCCGCTTCTAAATCAATGCACGACGAGGAAGACATGTTGATGAGGGAATAGGTAAAAAATTCAAATCACCGAGACAACGCACATCAACCAGATGGACATGTTCATCCTAAAAAATAAAGTCAAGCCGAGAGCGACGGTAGCAAAATGTTAATCCTGACGCTAACCACTTTATTATCTCAATTTATTCCTATTCCAGCTTCCGTTTTTATGCATTCTCCTCTTTTAATCTTATTCTACGACAAAAGCATCAGCTCGTTCTCTAGGCTGGTGGCGGGCCGTCTGGTCGCAGGTTGCTTGGCTGACGATGAGCTGAAGAGATTTATGCCACCAACGACGGCGTTGAAAGATGCTGCACACACACACATACACACCACCGGCGACGATGATGACCCGATTTACATCTGGTGGTAGGTGGTTTTGACATTTCGTGCGGATTTCAGTGGATTTCACATATGCACGATCTGAAGCCCGCTCAAGTCAACGATTTGTGTACGCTTAGTCACACCAACTGATGATGATGATGATGATGTTGTTGTCTGGCTGACTGCGGTATCGTGAAATATTGTATGTATATGATACGATTGTCAGCTTTGAGAAGATTTGTCTGTCACGAACCAGACAGCAGCGGGGAAATTATCCACTTGAACTTGGATGGATGGGATATCGCGTGCTTGGAGGAAGTTTTATGACAGTCAGTATAGTAGGTTAGTTTTGCCAAATGGGAAATAGTGTTTTGTCTAGTCAGGTTTCTAAACTCGACTAATTAAGATGTAGGGAATTCCCTTTTTAAATAAGTAGAAAGTCACGGAATTGTCCAGGAAGTAACTACCGTGCAAACACCATATTGTGAACAGTTCCATATTCTGTACGGTAAGAAATACTTTAAATGTTTCAAAATTAATGGATCATGCTTCAGCAGACGCTGGAGTAAAATTATTAATCAAAAAAGTTATAATATAAATAATGTCACTACAATTTTGCCTGATATTAACAGAGTAAATTATTTTCTACATCTTTCGATGGGTTTGTTTAGTAAACTCTCGTTAATGTGCTGGCTTATGGGCTTCCCTGGGGCGGCAGGCAATGCGTTGTGGGCTGACAGTTTCAGAAACGTGGCAGGTACGATTCGGTGCAGTGTATTCAGAATCGGTGTTGTAAAGTATGCCGTCATCGGTGGACTGCAGACCGTGTTGTTAAGGATTGGAATAAACAACATTGGAAATGCAAGACGTGCTGTAATTTGAAACATTGTCTTGATCACATTTTTACTTGCCTGTTGAAACAAGCTGGAAAACCCCTCATCCACATTTAGTCACAGGTCCGGGACGACTATGATGAGCGCTGATAGGGGGCTGTCCATAAACTACGTAGACAGTTTTGACTAGAGGAACCAGGAGCTTCCAAAATGCAGTCCATAGTGCGTCCCGGGCGTCGAAGCTAGGTGACAAGCATGGTACAGTGGTTGTTAATTTTTTTTTTTACTTTAAATGATCTTTATTTCTTGTATTTGTTTGGTTTACATGTATTAATTATCAAGTGACACAGATGCGTCTTTTCAACTTTAGTACATTTGAAGTTTTAATTATTATTTACAGTTCCTAGTCCTATCAGGCTGTTTTAGAGTATGACCACCTTGGTGGGATTGGTTTGTTTTGAATTCAAAAAAAGGAGACTACTTATAACTTCTATTTACAACTACAACTAACCTATAACTACTATATACACCTAATCTACTATATACAAATTGCTTATCAAAGCATGTTCTTTTGTATTGAATTTCTGCACAAACCTAGTCTTAATGTCATCAATTTTGAAATCTAATCTTGGAACGTTCGCCTCTTGGTGGAGGTCGGAAATTCTTGTGTCGATCAAGGATCATCCTAAGCACTCTGTTCTGAGCGACCTGTATTTTGTTCCTGTGAGTTTGTGCACATGATTCACACACCGGAGCTGCGTATAAGATCGCAGGTGCTATAATTTGTTTATAGAAAGCCAGCTTGTTCACCCTTGAGAGGCGGGATCTGCGGCAAATCAGCGGATACAGGCACCTTACCAAGACGGCATTCTTGACTACGGTTTTCTCCACATGCGAGCTGAATAGGAGATTTTCGTCAAACAACATCCTGAGATAGGTTACTTCGGTGGACCACTCAACCCTTGTGCCATACATGATTACAGTACAAGAGGGAGCCGGTTTCAGTTTGGGTGATTGCCGATGGAGGAACACGTGGTGGCATAATCAGCAAAGGCGTCAAGGCGTCGTTGGAGCTTGTTTGTTATTTCGCGAGGCATCCTACCCTTGACGGTTATAGCGGTATCATCTGCGAACAAGAAGAACACGCAACCGTCTCCGAGGGGAGGAATGTCAGAAGTGTAGATGCTGTAAAGCAAAGGGCCCAACAGACTTCCTTGCGGAACATCTGCTGGGATGGAGAACGTGTTTGAAAGGCAGCCATTCAACGATACCCTGATCGACCTTTGTTTAAGGTAGTTACGGGTGATTTTAACAAGATGCAAAGGAAAGTTGAAGTTACAAAGCTTGTATACAAGCCCATTGTGCCAGACATTGTCAAACGCTTTCTCAACGTCTAACAATGCCATGGCTGTGGACTTGGATACAGCCTTGTTACTTCGGATGTTATTCATCACCCGTACTAGCTGATGATTTGTAGAGTGCCCCTTCCTGAACCCGAACTGTTCCGGTAGGAGAATGTTGTGTTCCTCGACAAACTTAAGCAAACGATTGAGAATAAGTTTCTCTAACAATTTGCTCAGCGCTGAAAGAAGGCTGATCGGTCTGTAGCTTGAAGCTAGCGTTGGATCCTTTCCGGGTTTGCGGATAGGTATGCTTTTCTTTGTCTTCCAGATACATGGAACGTAGTGCAGTTCCAAACATCCGTTGAAGACAGCAACCAGCAGAAAGTGAACCTTCATGCTGAGATTTTACAACACTAGGTTGAATATTCCGTCAAACCCGGGGGCAATCATGTTTGTGGTGCACTTCGAGCTGACTTCGGATGTTGAAGCCAAGCGAGTGCGAATTGGCAATATGCTCACCAATCGCATTTGCTTTCTCTTGAGGGGTGATTATGAACCGATCGTCATCATATTCATCTTTAAGTGGTGGAATGGGTTTGGGGCGCGTCTTTAGGACCTTGGCAACTTTCCAGAATGGTAAGGAGCGGTCGTCCAGATTCTGGACGAGCCGCCCGAAACTTTCGTTCCGGAGTGAGACCATTCTGGAAGCAATCTCCTTGTTCAGATCGGCCATTTAACGTTTCCTCGCTAGATCTCCGGTTCTTTGGAACTGGCATCTACAAACATTTCTCAGGCGAATCAAGAGTTGGGTGTGGGAATTAATGGCAATAAACTTACCCCTCACAGGAACTTGTCGGACGCACACCTCGTCAGCCACGGTTATGGCTTGGTGGAGTCTCTCCAACGCTCGGTCGATGCCCTCCACGGTGTCAAGCGGCGGGTTTTCGATGATGTGCCTGTCTACCACGCGTCCAAACTGGGCCAAGTTTACGCGATGGTAGTCCTTGCGCAGGCTTGAAGCAGGAGCCACGTTGCAGCCCAGTTCAGCCACCACCGGTTGGTAGTCAGAGCTGAGTTCGTTGAAGGCTACCAGCTTGGACAAGCCGATATTTGTCAGGAACAGGTTTAGCGTCGATGGGTTGCCCGCCGGTGAGATAAATGTTAGCTCATCCGAAAACCAAACGGAGTACAGCCCATGCTGTGAGTGGTCGAACAGCAGACGACCGTTCTGGTTCTGCTGGTAGTTCCGCCAGGCCTCATGGTGAGCATTTAGATCTCCTCCAACTACACACTTAGGGTTGATGCATATATTATGTCACGCTCTAAGGGGGAACGGGGGTCTAAGATTTTGTGACAAGCAATGCATTAGGTATAGGAAAAACGTCACGATAGGGGGGAGGGGGTAATGTTTTGCTCGATTTAGCGTGACATAATTAATGCATGGACTAGTGCATGGGCCCGTTAGATTATTTTGCCGAGAAGGGCACCACTTAGCAGCTCGGCATTTTATTTTGCTGGAGCTTAGTTAAAAACTTGCCGCGATTCAGTAAAAATTATGTTTGTAAGTTGTTACTAAGCGGGAACCGGTACGGGTGATGGTGGACAGGTCCTTCTTGAATTTAGCCGCTAGTCCACTGCTGGCGGCACACTGTCGAGGGCAGTAGACGGCGATGAACTGGACGTATCCAGTCGACGACTTCTCCTCCACACCAAAGGCCTCGATGATAGAGGTGCGGATATGGGAAAGAATATGGTATTTTATCTCTTTCTTGACGACGACCGCAACACCACCCCCCCCTGGAGCTGGTGCGATCAAGCCGAATAATATTGTGGTCAGGCAACCAGAAGCTGTCGCCGGACTTTAGATGGGCCTCGGTTAGAAGGCCCACGTCGATGCTGTGCTTGCGGAGGAAGTCAGCAAGCTCAATCTGTTAAGCTCTTACAGAGCAAGCATTCCAGGTAATGATAGTTAGCGGTTTAGACGCCATACTGGATGATGAACTTACCGAGCACTTGGATCTGTTCGGGCTTATTGTGGCACTAACGAAGAGCACCGGACATGTTGACGAAAATTTCCATCAGTTCATCCGCTGAGAACAGATCGGGGTTGTTGCATAGCGTTGGTGGTTGTCTCCAGAATCCAGGGTGGGGGTAGAGATCTATGTCCAGCACAATCACCGGAAGCTTTTTGAGGGGCGGCGGACTGCACCCGCGAATTTGATTGCCTTTGCTGGGAGCTCTGGCACTGAGTTACGTCACGATGGCCTCCACGGTATGGCTCCCACCGTAAGATGATGGAGTAGATCGATCGGATGGCTTGCAGCGCATTGAGCGTCACCGTCCCATACT